GTGCCCTTCCTGTTATATGCGCCTGATGCTCTAGCTTCTGCACTAATCTCTTGTGAGGAACTGTGTCAAAGGCCTTCTTGCAGTCCAAGAAGATGCAATCAACCCACCCCTCTCTCTCTTGTCTTACTTCTGTTATTTTATCATAAAACTCCAGAAGGTTTTGTGACCAGGATTTGCCTTCCGTGAATCCGGGCTGGTTGGCATTTATACTCCTGTTCCGTTCCAGGTGCTCCACCACTCTCCTCCTGATAATCTTCTCCATGACCTTGCATACTATACACGTCAATGACACAGGTCTATAGTTTAGTGCCTCTTTTCCTGTCTCCTTTTTTGAAAATGGGAACTACATTTGCCGTCTTCCATACCTCAGGTAGTTGCCCAGTTTCCAGGGATGTGTTGAAGATTGTGGTAAGTGGTACGCACAACATATCTGCTCCCTCTCTAAGGACCCACGGAGAGATGTTGTCCGGTCCCATTGCCTTTGAGGTATCGATGTCCCTTAGCAGTTTCTTCACCTCCTCCTCATCTGTATGTATGTCGTCCAACACTTGTTGGTGTATTCCTTGTTGGTGTCCCCATCTGGTCTGTCCCCCCAGAGTCCTTCCTGTCCTCTACTGTAAATACTTCCTTAAATCTCGTGTTGAGCTCCTCACATACCTCTTGATCGTTTCTTGTGAGTTCCCCCACCTTCTTTCCTCAGCCTTATCACCTGGTCCTTGACTGTTGTCTTCCTCCTAATGTGGCTATACAGCAGTTTCGGGTCAGATTTGACTTTCGATGCTATGTCGTTTTCATACTGTCGCTGGGCCTCCCTCCTTATCTGCGCATACTCGTTTCTGGCTCTTCTACTAATCTCCTTGTTTTTCCTGGGTCCTATGCCTCCCGTACCTTTTCCATTCTCTGTTGCACTTGGTTTTTGCCTCCCTACACCTTCGGGTAAACCAAGGCCCCCGTTTTGGTCTTCCTATTATTTCTGTTTCCCTTGGGAACAAAACTTTCCCTCTGCCTCCTTGCACTTTGTTGCCACATATTCCATCATCTCGTTTACTGATTTTCCTACCATTTCTCTGTCCCACTGAACCTCCTGCAGGAAGTTTCTCATACCTGTGTAGTCCCCCCTTTTATAGTTTGGCCTGTCCCCTTCAGTTCCTGTTACCTTCTCCACTTGTAACTCTACTATATAGTCAAAACTCAGAACCACATGATCGCTAGCTCCAAGGGGCCTCTCGTAAGTGATGTCCTCAATGTCTGAACTGCTCAGGTGAACACAAGATCCAGTCTTGCTGGCTCATCCTCCCCTCTCTCTCTTGTTGTGTCCCTGACATGTTGATGCATGAGGTTTTCAAGTACCACATCCATCATCTTGGCTCTCCATGTTTCGGGACCCCCATGTGGCTCCAGGTTTTCCCAGTCGATCTCCCTGTGGTTGAAATCGCCCATTACCAGTAATTTTGCCAACCTCCCAAGCCAGTGTGTCCACCATCACCCTGTTGTTTTCTTCGTACTCCTCTCTTGGCCTCCTGCAGTTCTGTGGTGGGTTATACATCACTCCAATGACTATTTTATGTTCTCCGGACTGAATTGTACCTACAATGTAGCCCTCTTTCTCCAATCATGTCCATCCCTTTTCCATTTCCTCAAATCCCCATTGGTGTTTTATGAGCAGTGCAACCCCTCCTCCCCCTCTACTCCTTCTATCTTTCCTCAGGATCTGATATCCTGTTGGGAAGATTGTGTCTGTTATTGTCTCAGCGAGTTTTGTTTCTGTGACTGCTATGATGTCTGGGGATTTTTCACTGATTCTTTCATTCCACTCCTAAATGTTTATTCGTTATTCCATCCGCGTTTGTGTACCAAACCTTTAGTTTCTTTTCTATCATTGTGGTCATGCAAGTATATTGGGTTGGGGGAGCGAGAGCCTTGGTGGGGGCCTATATGGGGCTGTGTGTGTAGGTGGGGTTTGTGTTGATGGGGTGGGGTCAGAATGCCCATAAGGGACAGCTGTTGGGGTGAGTTTGTGATAGGGGGGTTGGTGGCAGAGGAACAGTGAGTGGGTTGTAGTATAGGTTGCTCAGTTGCGTTGGGAATGTCGCGGGTGGAGTCTTTTGGTGGGAGATTCTGTGGGGTGTGTTTGCCCTTCCTCCTGTGTCTGGGTCCTGCTCATTTTCATTGCTTCTCGTTCCTCCTTGCGTCTCTGTACCCTCTCTTCAGTGTAGTCCTTTCTTCTTGTGTTCTGTCGCGGTCGAGGTATACTCTCTGGTACCCCTCTTGTCCCTCAGTCTTGCTTTCTCTTGCAGAATCCGGGTTTCGAACTGATTCTTCCTTGAAAGAACTCTGACAGGCCGTATCCTTCCACTTGCAAACCACCCAATTCTCTGAAAATTTGTCACCTGGGTCATATTGCCCTCCCCTATTGTTTTCATGATGCCTTCAATAATTTTTTTCTCCTCCTGTTTTATTTCTTCAAAGTTGGCCCCCTTTGGCTTCTTGGAGCCCGTACACAAAAACTGACCTCGCCCTTTCCTCCTCCCACTGAGTCCCCCATCTGCTTCCTCTGAGGCATTTATTTTCCTTCCTTTGACATGTTCTTGCCTTCAGTCCCTGTCATATCTGAAACTTCTATTCTCAGTGAACTGTCTTTCCTGACCAGCTGTCCCTTGCTACTGCAGTTGGCTGTTAGAATCTCTGCATATAACAAACCTTCATTGTCTTCGGACCTGTCGCTTGATCTTAGTGTGCTCATCGTCTTTTTTCCCCGGCCCCACGTGGGTCTGATAGGGGCCCTTTGTGTACGGCATGTCTCCGTTTGTTGCTTACCATCCCCTTGTCTGCGCCTGACTTTGAATTTTCCTTCATTGTCTTCAGACCTGTCGTTTGATCTCAGTGTGCTCATCGTCTTTTCCCTGGCCCCACGTGGGTCTGATAGGGCCTTCGTGTATGGCATGTCTCCGTTGTTGCTTACCATCCCCTTGTCTGCGCCTGACTTTGAATTTCCTGATGTCACATCTGAATTGTCATTTGTCTCTCTAATCTGTTTCAGGCTTTGCAGTTTCTCTTCTAAGCACTGTATCCTAGCTTCTGCTGCTAAGACCTGTACTTCCCACTTCCTGCACTCTTCAGCTATCCGCTCCTCCATTTTCTTACCAAGCTCTACTATCTTCCTTCCCCACTCTTCCTCCCTTTTTTGGAGCTCTAACTCACAGTCTTTCCTCCCTGGTTCGTCTACCAGATCTCTGGTTTTCCGTCCTCTAAGGCCACCCATTTTTTTTTTTTTTTTTTTTTTTCTTTTCTTTTTATTACCACAGACAGAAGGCTAGAGGAGGGAGGGGGTGTGGGGGGGGAGAGAGAAAGGGTAGAAAGAGGGAGAGAGAGGAGAGAGAAAGGGTAGAAAGAGGGAGAGAGAGGAGAAGGGAAAGGGTAGAAAGAGGGAGAGAGAGGAGAGAGTATGGGGGTGAGGGATAAGACCAAGGGGAGAGAGAGAAATGTGAGGGGGAGAGAAAGGGTAGAGAGAGGGAGAAAGAGAGGGAGAGGGAGAGGGAGAGAAAGAGAGAGAGAGGGAGAAAGGAGGGGGAGGGAAAAGGCTATGAGGGGAAAGGCTATGTGTGTGTGTGTGTGTGTGTGTGTGTGTGTGTGGTGTGTGGGGTGTGTGTGTGTGTTTGTGTGTGTGTGTGTGTGTGTGTGTGTGTGTGTGTGTGTGTGTGTGTGTGTGTGTTTGTGTGTGTGTAATTATGTGTCGAATTATGTGTGGGTTTATTATGTGTCTGAAAAGTAGGTGGCTTGTGCTTGGAGTGTAATGTAGATTCTCAGTTGTCGCTTTGTCCACAACCTCTTGTGACCTGACTCCCACCTTCACAGTGTTGCCTATATCGACCTGCTTATAGTGAGTTAATCGCCTTGTTCAATGGATTACCACTTGCTAAACCTTATTGAATACTTGAGTGCCTATTCTTTATCGTGCTATGAGAGTTAGACCATTCACATTCAGCTTGGCGGTTAATTGGAACCTGGACCCCACACCCAAACAACCACTCATAGGTGATACAGTACTTGTAGTGCAGCTGTAGCACTGTAGATTGTCCAGGTCGATGTGACGTCCTGGCGTAGATCCAGCTCGATGTACGTCCTGGCATAGATCCACCTCAATTTCTTCTCGTTAATAATGTACCCTATTCACTGTATTTCTTTCACTGGTCACACGATTGTTTCACTTTATTACCTTTCTTGGGTGACACTTGGCAACGCCGCCTTACACACTAGCCTGCGCCACAACGCTTTTATTTTCCAGATCACTTTCAAAATTGTGGCTCTCCCCATACTTATGTGGCTCAGGCAATTAAAAAAAACACTTCTAGGATTGTTGACTACCCTGACACACTTAGCAACCCTTGCAGAACACTTAGTAGCCCTCAAAAACACTTAAATTCCCGGAGCACCGACGGCGTGACTAGCGCGCTCGCTGCGTGGGTGGGTGGGTGTGTGTGTGTGTTAGATATACATAGTAATACTTTCATGAACGAGTGGTTTTAAGCAAATGACAACACTGCGACTAACTAGGTATCAAACACACGATAATTTAGCACGCCCCCCGAGCCAGCAAAAATTCCGAGATGCCTTAGTCCACTGAGTTTTCAATGCTCATCAATGGCTCAGTGGGGTATAGCGTCTCGAAATTTTGGTAGGCCCCCGGAGGCATGTTAAAATATCGGGGGTTCGATCCCCGGCTGGTAGCAGTGTTTACAAGTATACATGTATACATAAACAACAGGGTACATTAGTCCATACATACACACAATAATACATACATATGAGCACATATACACACATATCCAAAAGAGTCCAGAAGGCTTGTGTAATGCAATTCCCTGATACCTTTTCTTGTCGGCTCTCGCAGTGACTGAAATACATCCTAATTCTTCCTCTTAACCTGTAATATGTTTTATAAATGAATGAAGCCACGCAGTGTGGTGTAAGTAATTTTGATTAAAAATCTTTCTGCGAAGGCCACATCGAGAATTTCGAGCAGACAGACAGTGGGTATGGTTCTATCCTGCTTGAGTGGGACTTCATAGAGGGTGACGACCCACTGGTGAAGTACACCCTCGTTCTTCACGAGGACTTGTCTCTGGACATCTACTGCCCTGAGAGTCACTGCTCTGCTCCTCTCAACGACCTTGAGGCTTGTGAGGGAGGACAGTTCGAGCTGACGCCTTACTTTGATAACCCAGAGAATGGCACATACACTGGAGACATAGCTACCACCGTTGCTTTTGCTGCTGATGAAGGTAAGTTTTGTGTGTGTTAATATGAAATATTAACGATATACTAACAAAAGTGAAAAAATAACAATAACTCTCACAAGTGAAGCACTAACAGTACAACTAACACAAGTGAAACATGATTACTAAACTAACGTCAGGTATATAACAATGTTCTTCAGTTATCTAAGTCAACACGCTAATAAGGAACTAATGCCTATGTTCCTTTCTCAAACAGTTCCTGGACCACCTGCTGATTTCGTTGTCGGCAACATCACAGGTCGCTTTATAGAATTTATGTGGAACGGCCCTGTTGTAAACCCCAAGTGTGCTGCGGGGTAAGTTATTTATCACTGAAAAGGTGATATGATGCTATTACTGTGTTACAGTTTTTCCTGCTGGTGCATTGTTATGGGGCTATGGGACCCAACATGCATTTATGTATCTGTAAGTTACTCTGGGATACCTAATTATATTGAATTGATGGGGACTCAGCTCTAATTGTCATAAGGGCAGATCACTCTTATGGCTGTAAGGCAGCTGAGTCAAGCCTGTTTTTCTCAATATAATAGGTTATACTACAGACACACAAGCACACAATTTAAATAAGTAGTTTATAAAGTTGTAATTCTTTTTGTAAAAGTAAAATTAAGGTGTGGTAGAATTGTGGTAACTGGAGAATTGTGCTTGGCAAGTCTTTTGTTTTGGTGAGTGTGGGAGGAGCTTAGCTAGGCTCCTCCCTCTCCCCCTCTCTCTCTCTCTGTTGGTGGACTCCAAGCTGGCAGGACCTCTGGATCCTTCTATTTCTTTTGGGCATTATATGTGCTCCAGGGGTGAGTTTTATAACTTAAGTTGTGGCCACCATACCCAGGGTGACTAAAGTGTGTCAAAACACTAGTTAGCCCAGAGTTATGTCAAGAAGAGAGAAGGGCATTGTTGAAATGCACCATGTGGACTGTCCTAGGAGAGCAGCTAAGGGGTATGCAGGCTTATGTTTTGAATATGTGAATGCTGTAATTGTATATTCTGTACATATCTATTTAGAATACAGTTATATTTTTATAGTAGTAGTTTAAATAACCTGTGAAGAGGGCTGGTGAAAGGATCAGAGACACTGAGGATGATCAGTCATAATGTATGTATTACCCTAGACATAAGGCCTTTATGTAAAAGTTACCCCACACTAGAACATATAGTGAGAACCTTACTGTCAAAGTATAAGGGATAACAACATAACAACGTAACATGCATTACTGTCACTGTGTTACAGTTGTTCCTGCTGGTGCATTACTGTCACTGTGTCACAGTTGTTCCTGCTGGTGCATTACTGTCACTGTGTTACAGTTGTTCCTGCTGGTGCATTACTGTCACTGTGTTACAGTTGTTCCTGCTGGTGCATTACTGTCACTGTGTTACAGTTGTTCCTGCTGGTGCATTACTGTCACTGTGTTACAGTTGTTCCTGCTGGTGCATTACTGTCACTGTGTCACAGTTGTTCCTGCTGGTGCATTACTGTCACTGTGTTACAGTTGTTCCTGCTGGTACATTACTGTCACTGTGTCACAGTTGTTCCTGCTGGTGCATTACTGTCACTGTGTTACAGTTGTTCCTGTTGTTAGGTAAGACACATATGTAACAGTCAGGTATCTTTATTTCGAAACGTTTCGCCTACACAGTAGGCTTCTTCAGTCGAGTACAGAAAAATTGATAGAAACTGAAGATACTTGAAGACGATGTAATCAGTCAATCACCCTTGAAGTTTTGAGGTTATCAGTCCCTCAGTCTGGAGAAGAGTATTGTTCCATAGTCGGTAACAATATGGAGTTGAAGTGACAGGATGGAGCCTTATATAACTCCAGAAGAAGAGATGTAGGCCACTAGTAGAGGTAAGAATGTAGTCGTTGGAAGGTCAGGTCTCTCTCAAATCCAGCCATGCTCATTAGTAGAAGTTGACAAAGTTGATTTCAGGTGTGTACCAAGATGCCCTTGTGTTGCAGAGTCTGACAGAGTGAACATTAAAATGGTATAAAATACCGACAGGTTGTTAGGTAAGACACATATGTAACAGTTAGGAATCTTTGTTTCGAAATGTTTCGCCTACACAGTAGGCTTCTTCAGTCGAGTACAGAAAAGTTGATAGAAGCTGAAGATACTTGAAGACGATGTAATCAGTCCATCACCCTTGAAATTTTGAGGTGGTCAGTCCCTCAGTTGTTCCTGCTGGTGCATTACTCTCAGCGTGTTGCAGTTGCTCATGTTGCTCTCGCTGGTACATTAGCAATCATGAAAGTAATATACATACATCTCCAGGATGCCATTAGAGTTAATAATAGAGGTAATAATAGATGTGGGCTGGGATTTGTTGACCCCATTTACAGTTGTCTTGAATTTTACCATATGTTGCTAAATGGGAATTACGCAGTTATTTACCAATCAATAAATTCAGGGCAGAGGTTTTGGTATCTCATCTCCTTCAGAGTTTTGATGATAATTCTTTGTGTTACTAATCTGATGTTGCTGCCCTTTATGACGATATTGATTCTGAATACAATCCATCGAACTAACCTTTTTCTGTTTAACAGCTGAACAAAAAAATGTATTAAAGCTGTTTTTACCTCACAATGGCAATAAATTTCCTTCAATTCTTAAGCGTCACTCAGATAATGTTTAGTTCAAAATGGAAGTGTTTAATGAACATCAGTTACAGAGTTCACAAAGAAGAGGTATGTGTAATAAAGTTGGTAGAATTACCGACAATATGTAAAGTAAAAGGACACAAGTGCAACTAATGTGACATTTATTGTGGCAACGTTTCGCTCTCCAGGAGCTTTATCAAGCCATTACAAACAATACATGGACACAGAGGGTATATAAAGGCTCAGAGTGAGGTGAATACTAGTGAGGTACCATTTCGATGTTCACTAGTGGTAGTAGTAGTAGTTTAGTGACAAAAGTAATACAATATGGTAGAGCAATTAATTCGTACATGAGTAAAAGGATATAAAAGCTATTACTTGGGTAACATAAAAATAGGTTGGACAAATATAAACTGGAATGAGGCAGCTTGTTTCAGTGTTCACTCTCTGTGCTTTGTGTAGTATAACAGGAGAGACTATGTGATGGCAGGGTTTACTGTTTTCAGGAGGATTCTTGCTAAGACTTCGGAGATGGTGAAGCTGCCGTTGTTTTGTTTAATTGTATTCGAAACAGCGATCAGTGCTGATTCAAGGCACTTGCGTGTGCGGAAATTAGTTTCTTTTATCACTAATTGGGCGTCTCTGAATTTCATAAGATGATTGGTGGAATTTCGGTGTTGTACACACCGAAAGATTGATGGACTGACCACATCGACTCAAGGTTGAGGGACTGATTACCTCATTCTCCTCCTGTTCTTCAAGATTCTCCTTTGTATGGACTGATGAAGCCACTGTGTGGCGAAACGTTTCCTCAATAAAGATACCCAAGAGTTGCACATGTGTCTAATTTATCAACATGTCGGTTCTCTGAACCATTCATCTACAAACCTATTTTTATGTTACCCAAGTAATAGCTTTTATATCCTTTTACTCATGTACGAATTAATTGCTCTACCATATTGTATTACTTTTGTCACTACCACTACTACTACTACTACTACTACTACCACTAGTGAACATCGAAATGGTACCTCACTAGTATTCACCTCACTCTGAGCCTTTATATACCCTCTGTGTCCATGTATTGTTTGTAATGGCTTGATAAAGCTCCTGGAGAGCGAAACGTTGCCACAATAAATGTCACATTAGTTGCACTTGTGTCCTTTTACTTTACAAGAGGTATGTGAAAGACTTCACTATGCTTGGATTCCTTCTTAGAGTACACGATAGTTATATTAAACATCTGTGCTGCCTCTTTCTGTGGTACAGTAGAGCAAAAGGAAGAAACCAGGAATTAATTTCTGGTGAATTTAATGTCCATAACAATGCTGTTATCCAGACTGTTAAGATGTTCTGCTACCACCTAACTTAAGTTCAGGATTTTGAAGCAGTTCATGAAAGCTCTGGATTATAAGTGATGCCTTCAAACTTGTATGACTAATGTTCCAAATAATGTCTGAAACTAAAGACAAAGATGATACGTTTCTTGGACCACAAATTAGGCTGATGTTGTCATTTAAAGAGCTTCAAGGAAAACGACTGGGAAGTCTTTCGGTTTGTAGAGCACCGGTTTACGGGTAAGACCAAGGTTTGATTGAACAATATCTGCACTTGTACTTGAAATTTTGACGACCACATATGGAAGACGTGAGTGAAGAAGGTGAACATTTTCGTCTGGACAATCAACCATTTAGAAGAGGTGCCAGGGAAGACAAGATGCAGCCATTAATGGTGGTTACATCTGGGGTTTGATTCTAGAGAGACGCAGAAGTATATAACAGATGATTTCGTTCGTTTGTGGCACTTATCAGGAATGATGTAGTACTTCGTTACATGCGTTATGATTATTTTATTTTCGTTGTATTATTCAACATAAATTTATATGCACAATTAGTGTTTTCCTGTCCTACAAATCTTTGATGCTATGGAAATATAGATTTCTAACCTGTAATAAAGCTGTTGACGCTAGAAATATAAATTATGTATATTTTTAAATCAGTAGACAAGACAAACGTAAGAAAAAAAATATAAACAGAACTTTTCCCAAAATTGTTGCCTATTGTAATGTTTATGTCCTTTTCTGCAGGTATGTCATTTCATGTGATATTAATATGAAACGGATCAGTGAAGATTCCCATCATGCAGCAGAGGACTACGAGTACGACATGCTTTTGGGCCCCAATGATCCATGCACCACTTACATCTGTGATGCTCTCTCCTTTGGCTTCTCTGGTGAAGAAAGTGATGCAATCATTGTGAATGTTACTACTGGAGAGCTAAGTAATTATTTCATTTTTATTGGAGGAACTTTGATAAGAGAGACCAGGTAGGAGTGTTTATGAACACATTACAAAACGGATGGGACTCGAACCCAAGGCAGGTGAATCCTAAAATTCACAGGCCAGTGAACTGACCTCTTGACCAACTGGTTCTAATAGCAATTATCCAACTTTCTTGAAGATAGGACAGTCTATTAATATAAGAATTCTGGATATTAATATCGTATGCATACGCGGTAACCATGTATGAGTCGTGTGTGTTCGATCTGTAGACTTGTAAGTCGTGGTTTTCTACAGTTGCCTGCGATGCAATGATGATGTTCAGGAGCATAACTGAGACTTCTTTGAAAAACAGTCCATTGTTCTCTGATTCCAACCACCGTTGTTGCCAGCAGTGTTGGAATCTCTGAAACAGTATTGAGAAATAGCCTGAAAACGGACAACCCTGTGGGAGATTAGTTGAGCGTGAATAATAGACCGAGTAGCTAAAACTGTGTGTTTCCAACCATGAATACCAGTGTGTCTTGGATCTGCAGGCAACTTCCGATAATACTTCTTCCATCATAAACCGTTCAAGGTGGCCTTCAGTGTCACCAGAGAGCCGTCTAAATCGTCCCAAGATAAATCTATTATCACTGGATGCAGTGACAACCACCACCAAGAGAGCTTCATAACATTAAGGAACCCAGTCTTCAAAGGACAGATTCTTGAAGAGATGTCAAGATTTCCAACTTACATTGTGTTCGTGAAGACAGTCAAGTTCCAGACACCAACTCGAGTATAGTTGGATGTATACATGCTCCCAGTGATAGAAGAAGAGTTATACACAAGTAACCCACTCACTGAGTTATATCCCCAGAGAGTGATAGTTTCTGCTAATATAGTTAAAATGATTCTTGTTATAGTTTACCCGCATGACCTGTGTGATTCATACTAGAACTGTGGGCTAAGAGAACGCCTGTAATTAATAGAACTGTGTTCTAAGAGAACTCCTGTAATTACTAGAACTGTGGGCTAAGAGAACTCCTGTAATTACTAGAACTGTGGGCTAAGAGAACGCCTGTAGTTACTAGAACTGTGGGTTAAGAGAACGCCTGTAATTACTAGAATTGTGGGTTAACAGAACGCTTGTAATTACTAGAACTGTGAACTAAGAGAACGCCTGTAATTACTAGAACTGTGAACTAAGAGAACGCCTGTAATTACTAGAACTGTGTTCTAAGAGAACTCCTGTAATTACTAGAACTGTGGGCTAAGAGAACGCCTGTAATTACTAGAACTGTGGGTTAAGAGAACGCCTGTAATTACTAGAATTGTGGGTTAACAGAACGCTTGTAATTACTAGAACTGTGAACTAAGAGAACGCCTGTAATTACTAGAACTGTGAACTAAGAGAACGCCTGTAATTACTAGAACTGTGAACTAAGAGAACGCCTGTAATTACTAGAACTGTGAACTAAGAGAACGCCTGTAATTACTAGAACTGTGTTCTAAGAGAACGCCTGTAATTACTATAGCTGTGTTTTAAGAGAACGCCTGTAATTACTAGAACTGTGTTCTAAGAGAACGCCTGTAATTACTATAGCTGTGTTTTAAGAGAACGCCTGTAATTACTAGAACTGTGAACTAAGAGAACGCCTGTAATTACTAGAACTGTGGGCTAAGAGAACGCCTATAATTACCTGAAGGATATTACAATATGACATTAGGTACAATACAAAAATATTCCGCAGATAAGAGAGAGAAGCTTAAGACATAGACATTGAACGATGGCCAAACACGTTATATATTCAAGATTATAATTAGCTTAAGAATATACTCATAACTGGTAATGATAGTTATCACATAAAAAAGTCAGCACTACCCATCAGTCGATAGAGCCACTTAGGTGATCAGGAGTGAAGAGCCACTTAGGTGATCATGAGTGAAGAGCCACTTAGGTGATCATGAGTGAAGAGCCACTTAGGTGATCATGAGTGAAGAGCCACTTAGGTGATCATGAGTGAAGAGCCACTTAGGTGATCAGGAGTGAAGAGCCACTTAGGTGATCAGGATTGAAGAGCCACTTAGATGATCAGAAGTGAAGAACCACTTAGGTGATCAGGAGTGAAGAGCCACTTAGGTGATCAGGAGTGAAGAGCCACTTAGGTGATCAGGAGTGAAGAGCCACTTAGATGATCAGGAGTGAAGAACCACTTAGATGATCAGGAGTGAAAAGCCACTTAGGTGATCAGGAACTTGCATTTTGGTAGCAAAGTGTTCAGCAAAGAGGCCCGCCTTCTCTTGACTACTAGTAGAGGTGGTCCCATCCTGTCGATTAAGAGGTGGCCTGATGAACTCATTCCACCTCTTAATCGACAGGATGGGACCACCTCTACTAGTAGTCAAGAGAAGGCGGACCTCTTTGCTGAACACTTTGCTACCAAAATGCAAGTTCCTGATCCAGCAAGGGACCCTCCTTGGCTAGCTGCAAGAACTGTGTCAAAACTGTCAGTGGTGACAATAAGGCAGGAGGAGGTGCATTCCCTTCTTAAATCGCTTGACCAAGAAAAGGCTGTGGGCCCAGACAAGTTGAGCCCAAGATTGTTGAGAAGATGTGCAGACCAGCTAGCAGCACCTCTAACTCGCATCTTTCAGCACTGCCTAGAACAGTGTAAATTGCCCTCTCTGTGCAAAGAGGCAAATGTAATCCCTGTTCACAAAAAGAAGAGCAGAGCAGAAATCAGCAACTACAGACCAGTGTCACTCCTGTCAATCACTGGCAAGCTCCTTGAGACAATAATCTCAAGACAAATGACAGAGTTTTTTGACTGCCACTCACTACTTTGTGATCGTCAATATGGCTTCAGGAAAGGTTACTCTGTTGCTGATTTGTTGTTAAACCTCTCCACTAAGTGGCACCAGTCACTGGATGAATCCAAAGTCAGCTGTGTGGTAGCACTGGACATTGCTGGCGCTTTCGACCGGGTGTGGCACCAGGGCCTCTTAGCAAAACTTCAAGCACTGGCAATTGCAGGCTCTACACTACGTCTCCTCAGTGATTACCTTCATGGTAAATCTCTAAGCGTAGTTCTCAATGGAACGGAATCAGCAAGACATCCTACTGGGGCAAGTGCTCCACAAGGAAGCATGCTGGGACCATTGTTATGGAATGTCTACTTCAACTACCTTCTTCATCTCATCCCAGAATCCCATGCATATGCAGACGACTGTACACTGACATTCACTTATCCAAGAGAAGAAATACCAGCTGCTCTAAGCTACATCAATCACCAGCTAAGAGCTATATCAGCTTGGGGAAATGGATGGCAAGTAACATTTGCACATGAGAAAACGCAAATGATGATCGTCTCTTGGCACCATGATGGTAATGCTGGTGCAGTAGTAAGGATGAATGGGAGGGAGTTGGCACCTGGAGAAGAAGTTCATATCCTTGGGGTGAAATTTGACTCCAAATTAACCATGAAGAACCATGTTGTAAATCTTGCAAACAAGGCAGCCAATATTGTCAAAATACCACATTTGGATCCACTTCGAGGACAGCGTGAAACAAGCTTTTATGCCACAAGACGGGCAGAAAGCAGCAACTTCACTCTGGCTGTACTCTTCTCCAGAACATCACTCCATCTGAGATCATATATACCCAGGATGACTCGAGTATGGAACACATTAGTACAGCATAATGATACCAACGAGATAAAGTCAGTTGATCAAATGAAAATGCTGGCCCACATATGGCTCCAATCTCATCCTGTTCCCTGCTTGTATGTCTTATAACAATAAAAATGCTTTCAAATGAACTGATGTAGGTAACAGCTCTTAACCTTGTCAAACCCTGTGGAAAAAAAAAAAAGTGGTGAGTACATGTATAAGGAAGTGAGACAGTACCTGGTCAAAAAGACAGTGCCTGGTCAGAAAGACAGTGCCTGGTCAGAAATTTAAAGAACAAATAGTGAAGACAAGAAAGATGTACTTCCCTGCCACCAGATCCATTGTGCTTGCAGTGTGATGTCTGGTTCCTAGATGGCACTGACATGCACACCCCACCAGGTGACATGACAAGTACGAAGACCCAACCACCGCTTCTTGAAGTAGTTACCCTAATATATAGCAAGAACCTCTTACCCCTAGAGCCAGTGTCTATGCATGTGTGTGTTGTGTGTGTATGGGTACTCACCTAATTTGGATTACAGGAGTCAGGTTATAGCTCCTGGTCCCGCCTCTTCACTGGTAGCTACTAGGTCCACTCTCTCATTGCTTCTTGAGCTTTATCATACCTCTTCTTAAACCTATGTATGGATCATGTCTCCACTACATCACTCTCCAGACTATTCCACTTCCTGACAACTCTGTGACTGAAGAAATACTTCCTAACATCCCTGTGACTCATCTGAGTCTTTAACTTCCAGTTGTGACCCTTTATTGCTGTGTCCCATCTCTGGAATATCCTGTCTTTGTCCACCTTGTCAATTCCTCTCAGTATTTTATATATCATTATCATGTCCTCCCTATCCCTCCTGTCCTCCAGTGTTGTCAGGTCGATTTCCCTTAACCTCTTCTCGAAGGACATGCTCTTTACCTCCGGGAATAGTCTTGTTGCAAAGCTTTGTACTTTCTCTGAAATTTTTGACGTGCTTGTGAGTGTACTCACCTAATTGTAGTTGCAGGGGTCGAGACTCAGCTCCTGGCCCGGCATCTTCACTGAGTTCTACTACGTCCTCTCTCTCCATGCTCCATGAGCTTTATCATACCTCATCTTAAAGCTATGTATGGCTCCTGCCTCCACTACCTCACTTGCCAGGCTCTTCCACTTCCTGATTACTCTATGATTAATTAAAGAAATACTTCCTAACATCCCTTTGACTCATCTGGGTCTTCAACTTCCAATTATGACCCCTTGTTTCTGTGTCCCCTCTCTGGAACGTCCTGTCTCTGCCCACCTTGTCTATTCCATGCAGTATTTTGTATGTTGTTATCATGTCTCCCCTAACCCTCCTGTCCTCTAGTGTCGTCAGGCCGATTTCCCTTAACCTTTCTTCGGAGGACATTCCCCTTATCTCTGGAACTAACCTTGTCGCAAACTTTTGCACTTTCTCTAATTTCTTGACGTTCTTGATCAAGTGCGGGTTCCAAACAGGTGCTGCATACTCCAGTATGGGCCTGACATACATAGTGTACAGTGTCTTGAACAATTCTTTACTAAGATATCGGAATGCTGTTCTCAGGTTTGCCAGGCGCCCATATGCTGCAGCAGTTATCTGGTTGATGTGTGCTTCCGGAGTCGTGCTCGGTGTTATACTCACCCCAAGATCTTTCTCCTTGAGTGAGGTTTGCAGTCTTTGGCCACCTAGCCTATACTCTCTGCGGTTTTCTTTGCTCTTCTCCAATCTTCATGACTTTGCATTTGGTGGGGTTAAATTCGAGAAGCCAGTTGCTGGACCAGGTGTCCAGCCTGTCCAGGTCTCTTTGAAGTCCTAGGTGATCCTCATCTGATTTAATTCTCCTCATTAACTTCACATCATCTGCGAACAAGGACACTTCTGAGTCTAACCCTTCCATCATGTCGTTCACATATACCAAAAATAGCACTGGTCCTAGGACCGACCCTTGTGGGACCCCGCTCGTCACAGGTGCCCACTGTGATACATCATTACGTACTATGACTCGTTGTTGTCTCCCTGTCAGGTATTCTCTGATCCATTGCAGTGCCCTTCCTGTTATATGCGCCTGATGCTCTAGCTTCTGCACTAATCTCTTGTGAGGAACTGTGTCAAAGGCCTTCTTGCAGTCCAAGAAGATGCAATCAACCCACCCCTCTCTCTCGTGTCTTACTTCTGTTATTTTATCATAAAACTCCAGAAGGTTTGTGACACAGGATTTGCCTTCCATGAATCCGTGCTGGTTGGCATTTATACTCTTGTTCCGTTCCAGGTGTTCCACCACTCTCCTCCTGATAATCTTCTCCATAATTTTGCATACTATACACGTCAATGACACAGGTCTATAGTTTAGTGCCTCTTTTCTGTCTCCTTTTTTAAAAATGGGAACTACATTTGCCGTCTTCCATACCTCAGGTAGTTGCCCAGTTTCCAGGGACGTGTTGAAGATTGTGGTAAGTGGCACGCACAACATGTGTGCATGTGTGTGTGTGTGTGTGTGTGTGTGTGTGTGTGTGTGTGTGTGTGTGTGTGTGTGTGTGTGTGTGTGTGTGTGTGTGTGTGTGTGTGTGTGCATGTGCGTGTGTGTGAGTGTGAGTGTGTGTGTGTGTGTGTGTGTGTGTGTGGGCCTGGTCATAAATAATCGTCTCTTGATATGTAGATTTCTATACTTTAAATAATTTCATTGCATATTATTTATTTTTGACAGTACCAAGCGCCCCGACAAACCTGAGGGTGGTACCAAGCGACCCCTTCCCAGTGATCCTGGTATGGGATCCTCCCACTGACAACAAACAATGTGTAGATTTCTACAGATTGTGCTCAACACTTGTGGGGACCCAGGACACTGTGTGCCAGACGGTGAGTAGATTTTGCAGGGGGTAATGAGGGTGAGGGTCACTGTGTGGTGAGGGAGAGGGTCAGGTGGTTGTGAGGGGCAGGGAGTGGCGAGAGAGAGGGTCAGGGAGTGGTAATGGAGCGGGGATAATGAGGAGAGGAGGGTCAGGGAGTGGTAAGGGACCGGGGATATTGAGGGGAGGAGGGTCAGGGGATGGTGAGGGAGAGGGTCAGGGGATGGTGAGGTAGAGGGTCAAGGGATGGTGAGGGAGAGGGTCAGGGGGTGGTGATGGAGAGGGTCAGGGGGTTGTGAGGGAGAGGGTCAGAGGATGGTGAGGGAGAGGTCAGGGGATGGTGAGGTAGAGGGTCAAGGGATGGTGAGGGAGAGGGTCAGGGGGTGGTGATGGAGAGGGTCAGGGGGTTGTGAGGGAGAGGGTCAGGAGATGGTGAGGGAGAGGTCAGGGGATGGTGAGGGAGAGGGTCAGTGGATGGTGAGGTAGAGGGTCAAGGGATGGTGAGGGAGAGGGTCAGGGGGTGGTGATGGAGAGGGTCAGGGGGTTGTGAGGGAGAGGGTCAGGAGATGGTGAGGGAGAGGGTCAGGGGGTGGTGAATAAGAGGGTCAGGGGATGTTGAAGGAGAGGGTCAGGGGGTCGTGAGGGAGAGGGTCAGGGGGTGGTGAATGAGAGGGTCAGGGGATGGTGAGGGAGAGGGTCGAGGGATGGTGTGGGAGAGGGTAAGGGGATGGTGAGGGAAAAGGTCAGGGGATGGTGAGGGAGAGGGTCAGGGAGTGGTGAGGGAGAGGGTCGAGGGATGGTGTGGGAGAGGGTAAGGGGATGGTGAGGGAGAGGGTCAGGGAGTGGTGAGGGAGAGGGTCAGGGGGTGGTGAGGGAAAAGGTCAGGGGATGGTGAGGGAGAGGGTCAGGGAGTGGTGATAAACTCTTGTAGTGATATTTGAGATATAGTCAGGTAGTTAAAAATTATATTCAGGTGACTATTATTACTGACAGGTAAAGGACACGCTCGCTGAGATGACTTTTATGGAGACTTGTGACACATACGACGTGAGCGTAACACCCGTGACACTATCTGGTGTCGAGGGACCTGCCTTAAACCAGACGGTCACCATTACAACTGATACTGGTATGTTACTTACACTGGAGAGGTTTTCGGGGGTCACCGCCCCCGCAGCCCGGTCTGAGACCAGGTCTCATGGTGGATCAGGGTTTCATCAACCAGGCTGTTACTGCTGACCGCACGCAAGCTGACGTACGAACCACAGCCCGGTTTGTCAGGTACTGACTTTAGGTGCTTCAGAATGTTAATGAAGTGCAGTTAGTGTGCTAAGATTATAAGAAGATTCTAAGAAGAAAACCTTCCAGGTGTTAACTAATTAGAAAGTTATCTTAGAGTGCACTGCACGCATTGTCAACACTGCACGCATTGTCAACACTGCACGCATTGACAACACTGCACGCATTGTCAACACTGCACGCATTGTCAACACTGCACGCATTGTCAACACTGCACGCATTGTCAACACTGCACGCATTGTCAACACTGCACGCATTGTCAACACTGCACGCATTGTCAACACTGCACGCATTGTCAACACTGCACGCATTGTCAACACTGCACGCATTGTCAACACTGCACGCATTGTCAACACTGCACGCATTGTCAACACTGCACGCATTGACAACACTGCACGCATTGTCAACACTGCACGCATTGTCAACACTGCACGCATTGACAACACTGCACGCATTGTCAACACTGCACGCATTGTCAACACTGCACGCATTGTCAACACTGCACGCATTGTCAACACTGCACGCATTGTCAACACTGCACGCATTGTCAACACTGCACGCATTGTCAACACTGCACGCATTGTCAACACTGCACGCATTGTCAACACTGCACGCATTGTCAACACTGCACGCATTGTCAACACTGCACGCATTGTCAACACTGCACGCATTGTCAACACTGCACGCATTGTCAACACTGCACGCATTGTCAACACTGCACGCATTGTCAACACTGCACGCATTGTCAACACTGCACGCATTGTCAACACTGCACGCATTGACAACACTGCACGCATTGTCAACACTGCACGCATTGACAACACTGCACGCATTGTCAACACTGCACGCATTGACAACACTGCACGCATTGACAACACTGCACGCATTGACAACACTGCACGCATTGACAACACTGCACGCATTGACAACACTGCACGCATTGACAACACTGCACGCATTGTCAACACTGCACGCATTGACAACACTGCACGCATTGACAACACTGCACGCATTGACAACACTGCACGCATTGACAACACTGCACGCATTGTCAACACTGCACGCATTGACAACACTGCACGCATTGACAACACTGCACGCATTGTCAACACTGCACGCATTGTCAACACTGCACGCATTGACAACATTGCACGCATTGACAACACTGCACGCATTGTCAACACTGCACGCATTGACAACACTGCACGCATTGAGAACACTGCACGCATTGTCAACACTGCACGCATTGTCAACACTGCACGCATTGACAAGATTGCACGCATTGACAACACTGCACGCATTGTCAACACTGCACGCATTGACAACACTGCACGCATTGACAACACTGCACGCATTGTCAACACTGCACGCATTGACAACACTGCACGCATTGACAACACTGCACGCATTGACAACACTGCACGCATTGTCAACACTGCACGCATTGACAACACTGCACGCATTGACAACACTGCACGCATTGTCAACACTGCACGCATTGACAACACTGCACGCATTGACAACACTGCACGCACTGACAACACTGCACGCATTGTCAACACTGCACGCATTGACAACACTGCACGCATTGTCAACACTGCACGCATTGACAACACTGCACGCATTGACAACACTGCACGCATTGTCAACACTGCACGCATTGAGAACACTGCACGCATTGTCAACACTGCACGCAATGACAACACTGCACGCATTGACAACACTGCGCTAATTGACAACACTGCACGCATTGACCGAACTGCACGCATTGACAACACTGCACGCATTTACAGCACTGCACGCATTGACAACACTGCACGCATTGACAACACTGCACACATTGACAACACTGCACGCATTGACAACACGGCACGCTTTGACAACACTGCACACATTGACAACACTGCACGCTTTGACAACACTGCACGCTTTGGCAACACTGCACACATTGACAACACTGCACACATTGACAACACTGCACACATTGACAACACTGCACGCATTGACAACACTGCACACATTGACAACACTGCACGCATTGACAACACTGCACGCTTTGACAACACTGCACACATTGACAACACTGCACGCTTTGGCAACACTGCACACATTGACAACACTGCACGCTTTGACAACACTGCACGCATTGACAACACTGCACGCGTTGACAACACTGCATGCATTAACAACACTGCACACATTGACAACACTGCACGCTTTGACAACACTGCATGCATTGACAACACTGCACGCTTTGACAACACTGCACGCTTTGACAACACTGCACGCATTGACAACACTGCACGCGTTGACAACACTGCACGCTTTGACAACACTGCATGCATTGACAACACTGCACGCTTTGACAACACTGCACGCTTTGACAACACTGCACGCATTGACAACACTGCACACATTGACAACACTGCACACATTGACAACACTGCACGCTTTGACAACACTGCATGCATTGACAACACTGCACACATTGACAACACTGCACATATTGACAACACTGCACGCTTTGACAACACTGCACACATTGACAACACTGCACGCATTGACAACACTGCACACATTGACAACACTGCACGCATTGACAACACTGCACGCTTTGACAACACTGCACACATTGACAACACTGCACGCTTTGGCAACACTGCACACATTGACAACACTGCACGCTTTGACAACACTGCACGCATTGACAACACTGCACGCGTTGACAACACTGCATGCATTAACAACACTGCACACATTGACAACACTGCACGCTTTGACAACACTGCACACATTGACAACACTGCACGCTTTGACAACACTGCATGCATTGACAACACTGCACGCTTTGACAACACTGCACGCATTGACAACACTGCACGCGTTGACAACACTGCACGCTTTGACAACACTGGATGCATTGACAACACTGCACGCTTTGACAACACTGCACGCTTTGACAACACTGCACGCATTGACAACACTGCACACATTGACAACACTGCACACATTGACAACACTGCACGCTTTGACAACACTGCATGCATTGACAACACTGCACACATTGACAACACTGCACATATTGACAACACTGCACGCTTTGACAACACTGCACGCATTGACAACACTGTGTGTGTGTGTGTGTATGTGTACTCACCTAGTTGTACTCACCTAGTTGAAGTTGCGGGGGTCGAGTCCGAGCTCCTGGCCCCGCCTCTTCACTGATCGCTACTAGGTCACTCTCCCTGAGCCGTGAGCTTTATCATACCTCTGCTTAAAGCTATGTATGGATCCTGCCTCCACTACATCGCTTCCCAAACTATTCCACTTACTGACTACTCTGTGGCTGATGAAATACTTCCTAACATCCCTGTGATTCATCTGTCTTCAGCTTCCAACTGTGCCCCCTTGTTACTGTGTCCAATCTCTGGAACATCCTGTCTTTGTCCACCTTGTCAATTCCTCTCAGTATTTTGTATGTCGTTATCATGTCCCCCCTATCTCTCCTGTCCTCCAGTGTCGTCAGGTTGATTTCCCTTAACCTCTCCTCGTAGGACATACCTCTTAGCTCTGGGACTAGTCTTGTTGCAAACCTTTGCACTTTCTCTAGTTTCTTCACGTGCTTGGCTAGGTGTGGGTTCCGAACTGGTGCCGCATACTCCAATATGGACCTAACGTACGCGGTGTACAGGGTCCTGAATGATTCCTTATTAAGATGTCGGAATGCTGTTCTGAGGTTTGCTAGGCGCCCATATGCTGCAGCAGTTATTTGGTTGATCTGCGCTTCAGGAGATGTGCCTGGTGTTATACTCACCCCAAGATCTTTTTCCTTGAGTGAGGTTTGTAGTCTCTGACCCCCTAGACTGTACTCCGTCTGCGGCCTTCTTTGCCCTTCCCCAATCTTCATGACTTTGCACTTGGTGGGATTGAACTCCAGGAGCCAATTGCTGGACCGGGTCTGCAGCCTGTCCAGATCCCTTTGTAGTTCTGCCTGGTCTTCGATCGAGTGAATTCTTCTCATCAACTTCACGTCATCTGCAAACAGGGACACCTCAGATTCTATTCCTTCCGTCATGTCGTTCACAAATACCAGAAACAGCACTGGTCCTAGGACTGACCCCTGTGGGACCCCGCTGGTCACAGGTGTCCACTCTGACACCTCGCCACGTACCATGACTCGCTGCTGTCTTCCTGACAAGTATTCCCTGATCCATTGTAGTGCCTTCCCTGTTATCCCTGCTTGGTCCTCCAGTTTTTGCACCAATCTCTTGTGTGGAACTGTGTCAAACGCCTTCTTGCAGTCCAAGAATATGCAATCCACCCACCCCTCTCTCTCTTGTCTTACTGCTGTCACCATGTCATAGAACTCCAGTAGGTTTGTGACACAGGATTTCCCGTCCCTGTGTGTGTGTGTGTGTGTGTGTGTGTGTGTGTGTGTGTGTGTGTGTGTGTGTGTGTGTGTGTGTATGTGTGTGTGTGTGTGTGTGTGTGTGTGTGTGTGTGTGTGTGTGTGTGTGTGTGTGTGTGTGTGTATGTATGTTTAGAATTCGTAGAACAGGCGAGATATTCACATACAGTAACCTCTGGTCGATGGAGACTGGAACCTACGAACCCCGGGACAAGATGCGCAGATACATGTTAAAGCATAACTATGTTCAGATATGAATTTAGTGTCCAAAAAATTTAGAAACATGTTTTTTTAAAATGTTAATTAAAATCATTGTTGGCCAGTAAAGCATCTCATACTTCAGTTGCTGAATAATAATATTTATAATAATAATAATAATAATAATAATAATAATAATATAATAATAATAATAATAATAATAATAATATTAATAATAATAATAATAATAATTGTACAACTCCATTAGTGACCTGCTCCCCGTTGTGACTCCTGAAGGCAGCAGCAGCAGCAGCAGCAGCAGCAGCAGCAGCAGCAGCAGCAGCAGCAGCAGCAGCAGCAACAGCAGCAGCAGCAGCAGCAGCAGCAGCAGCAGCAGCAACAACAGTCTCAACATCTACACCACCACCATCCTCCAGGTTGGTAAGATTGTCAGTTGTGATGATCCATCACTGCTGCTGCAATATATATCTGCACAATTTTACTTCTTGCTGCACAGTGTTGCTCAGCTCTACACTATTACTCTGCACACTGCTGCTCTGTGTTGCACACCACTTTTCTATTACATGTCAAGCACTTCTCCTGCAACTCACACCTGCTATACTAACCATACCTACGCAACTACAGTATCATGTCTACCAACTCGTAAAATATAATCAGTAATAAAATTTATTGAATATACAAATTCTATGTGGGCTCATTTTAATGGTCTTTGTGTTTGTTCAGAGCCCGGCCCGTGAATAAGTGAGCCCGACCCATGAATAACAAGTCAAGGTGCCCCTCGACCCACCTACGACTGCTGCTCAGTTTTTCTTGGGAATAAAACATTAGAGTCATCAACGAGGACAAGAAGTAGCTGATTGATCATCCTATGGTAGATTCCCATCCCTTGACTGGTACCCCGTTCAAGCTACCTGTTTCAATTGTACACCATCCCAATGACAGAAAAAGTGGACCTCGTACGAAACTCCCTCAGTATCCCGAGAGTTTAATGAGAAGGACTGCCACTACTTCCATCACTGGGTAATGTTTCAAGCGAACATCCATCGATCGCTGCACCACTGAGTATCTGACCTTCTGCGAAAGAACCAGGAGTGACTTGCTCCCAGATGGTTACTGATACCATTGGTTTTAAGCTCAAAATTACTACTGATATAGTCTGAAGGAGTGTTAGGCACATTTCTTCAATCTTGCTGCCAGGTCCTCACTGTTGTTCTTAGTCTTAACACCTGCCCTGTGAGAAATCTTCACCCACCACCATCATCTCAACACATCTGTAATTACCACACGTCCCACAACACCCTACCAATGACTGGACTTGCACGAAGATTCATCTATTTCAAACTCAAGAAGTGATTTCATTTACAGTTATAAAACACTGCTATTTGGATTTCACATTAACAATGAAGACTTCCCGCTAATATTGCTAACTACAAGGTAGTAAATAATTGAATTAAAGAAGGGGTGTGTTAAATATATTGCAAGGCATTGTCAGATATCATAAGAAATAAACTAAAAATCACCTTTGGTTTTAAATGATTTACGCAAATATTTATAGCATGCACGAGCAATAAAACAAATTTTGATCAATTGTGAGATAAATATTAGCCAAGTATGACTACACATCCATAATCATTAATGAACATCCTTGTGTTGATAAGCACCAAATGCTCGCATAGAAAAAAGTATTTATAGAGTACAGCGTCCATCTCTGCGTGTAACTTCATTGTTCTCACTGACTTTTATGGAGTATTGTAGCTGCTGTCAAGACCTCCTCTTTTGTAACGGTATTAAGAGAGAAATAAAAAACTCTGAGTTGAAATTGTGTTTTCGTTCAATAACATCATTCTGACACAGGTACCTGGGCGTCACACTGCGCCTCTGTGATAGGATTGTTCTTAAGGGGATGTCCTCCTTGAGGTTTGGTTGGAGAGAGGGGAAAAATGGAGGGAGAGAAAGGGAAGATAGTGAGAGTGGAAAAGAGAAGGAGAAAATGGGAATGAAAAGCAGAGAGAAGCTTGCAAAGTCGTTTTAAGGATAAAACTTGTAGAATGTATGACTCTCATTTTAGTCATCTTTGTGAAGAGGTGTAGCCTCTTCCCTTGTTTTTTTAAACTTGTCATATATGAATAATAGCCAGATGTATTGACTGTTACCACACACAAGTGAACAATGCGTGTTCATGATCGTCACTGTCTAAGTCAGCTTAAACGCCGTTGATTTTGGCTTGTAACTGGTTGGATATACCGCATGCACAGAAATTAGTGGTTGAGTACAATTGCATCAAAGAGCTATAGATTACCTGACTTAACAGGAATGCTCCATAGCATTAAATATGGATGCATTTATGTGTGTATTTAAGTATTCACGAATTTACGTATTTGCTGCCTACCTGTTTTTGTAGTTGTATGAGTATTGAAACAGCTGGAGTGGCGACTGTATGCATACACCACGCGCCATTGAGGATGAGCAGGCAGGTGAGGCCTCGGGGCACACTCCCACAGGTGCCACAACACGTCCTCCTGCTGTATTTGGGGTTGGGCTGCACACACAACCACCAGGAAAGGAACTTCTCAGATTAGTATACGCGGTGCGAGCCCCTAGCCGCCGTATATGGCACAGAAGAGACAAACACTCCAGCGATGCTTTTCCACAGTGTTGAGTGGTAAGGTTTCCTGATTACTCTGCGATCCTCACTACAATATCCATGCGACAGTCAAACGATAAAGCGACGAGACTACATCCATATCTTCCTATTAAACAAATGCCTTCCAGAGCGCTTTCCATGGACATTCTGCAGCAAAACCTCAGTCATCAAAATGCCAGAAGCGGCCTTCCAGATAATACCCAAACACCAAGATAAAAGAACGGCTCTTCGTCCAGGAAGTCCAGCAGCTACCAATACTCTTCAACTTACCGACATGAGCAGTTTACTCTCCAGAATAAGCCCACTCAAGATCTTGAGTAAATTTGAGCATCTTCAGGCGTAGTATTTAACCTAACGAGTTGCAACTTGGGTATCTGCGCAGCACTCGCTGGTGAAGACACGAGTGTGCTGGACAGCCGTACATGGCTCGCCTGACCACAGAGCTGCTTGTCCTCTCAACACAAAGATACAAATTAACAAACACTCGCAAGACTCCCATTGCTCTTCGCTACCATACGTAATATATATATATTAATATATATATATATATATTATATATATATATATATATAATATATATATATATATATATATATATATATATATATGTCGTGCCGAATATGTAAAACTGGTCAATTAGCAAGAACTCATTTAAAATTAAGCCTTTTCTAACATTTTCTCTTATGCGTTTAAAGATATATTTTTTTCATTAATGTTGATGTAAAAATTTATAATTTTGCACCAAAAGGAACTTAGAAAACTTACCTAACCTTATTATAACAAGCGCAATTTATTTTAGCCTAACCCAACTAAATATATTTTAGATTTGTTTACAGTAATTTAATACTGAACAAACACAGTGAAATATATTTTTTTCGTTAGGTTCAGAATGATTTTGGCGAAATTATTGCATACACAAATTTTCACTTGTCCTATATGGCAAGATGAGCGCTGCTATTTAAGCAAAGATCGCAAGTTCTGCCTATTCGGCACGACATATATATATATATATATATATATATATATATATATATATATATATAATATTATATATATATATATAATATATATATGTAGGTAGTAGGTTGGTAGACAGCAACCACCCAGGGAAGTACTACCGTCCTGCCAGATGACTGTGAAACAGAAACCTGTAACTGTTTTACATGATGGTAGGATTGCTGGTTTCTTTTTCTGTCTCATAAACACGCTAGATAACAGGGATATCTTGCTACTCCTACTTACAGTTTCGTCACATTCACAGACACGCACATGCATATATATATATACATACATCTAGGTTTTTTCTCCTTTTTTTCTAAATAGCTCTTGTTCTTCTTTATTTCTTCTATTGTCCATGGGGAAGTGGAAAAAAATTTCTTTCCTCCGTAAGCCATGCGTGTCTTATGAGGCGACTAAAATGCCGGGAGCAATGGGCTAGTAACCCCTTTCCTGTAGACATTTACTAAAAAAGAGAAGAAGAAAAACTTTATAAAAACTGTGATGCTTGAATGTGCGTGGATGTAGTGCGGATGACAAGAAACAGATGATTGCTGATGTTATGAATGAAAAGAAGTTGGATGTCCTGGCCCTAAGCGAAAACAAAGCTGAAGGGGGTAGGGGGTTTCAGCGGGGGGAAATAAATGGGATTAAATCTGGAGTATCTGAGAGAGTTAGAGCAAAGGAAGGGGTAGCAGTAATGTTGAAGGATCAGTTATGGAAGGAGAAAAGAGAATATGAATGTGTAAATTCAAGAATTATGTGGATTAAAGTAAAGGTTGGATGCGAAAAGTGGGTCATAATAAGCGTGTATGCACCTGGAGAAGAGAGGAATGTAGAGGAGAGAGAGAGATTTTGGGAGATGTTAAGTGAATGTATAGGAGCCTTTGACCAAGTGAGAGAGTAATTGTGGTAGGGGACCTGAATGCTAAAGTAGGAGAAACTTTTAGAGAGGGTGTGGTAGGTAAGTTTGGGGTGCCAGGTGAAAATGATAATGGGAACCCTTTGATTGAACTTTGTATAGAAAGGGGTTTAGTTATAGGTAATACATATTTTAAGAAAAAAGGATAAATAAGTATACAAGATATGATGTAGGGCGAAATGACAGTAGTTTGTTGGATTATGTATTGGTAGATAAAAGACTGTTGAGTAGACTTCAGGATGTACATGTTTATAGAGGGGCCACAGATATATCAGATCACTTTCTAGTTGTAGCTACACTGAGAGTAAAAGGTAGAATAGAAGCATCAGGGAAGAGAGAGGTGAAGGTTTATAAACTAAAAGAGGAGGCAGTTAAGGTAAGATATAAACAGCTATTGGAGGATAGATGGGCTAATGAGAACATAGGCAACGGGGTCGAAGAGGTATGGGGTAGGTTTAAAAATGTAGTGTTAGAGTGTTCAGCAGAAGTTTGTGGTTACAGGAAAGTGGATGCGGGAGGGAAGAGGAGCGATTGGTGGAATGATAATGTAAAGAGAGTAATAAGGGAGAAAAAGTTAGCATATGAGAAGTTTTTACAAGTGAAGTGATGCAAGGAGGGAAGAGTATATGGAGAAAAAGAGAGGTTAAGAGAGTGGGGAAGCAATGTAAAAAGAGAGAGCAAATGAGAGAATGGGTGAGATGTTATCAACAAATTTTGTTGAAAATAAGAAAAAGTTTTGGAGTGTGATTAACAAGTTAAGGAAGCCTAGAGAATAAATGGATTTGTCAGTTAAAAATAGGAGAGGAGAGTTATTAAATGGGAGAGTTAGAGGTATTGGGAAGATGAAGGGAATATTTTGAGGAATTGTTAATGTTGATGAAGATAGGGAAGCTGTGATTTCGTGTATAGGGCAAGGAGGAATAACATCTTGTAGGAGTGAGGAAGAGCCAGTTGTGAGTGTGGGGGAAGTTCGTGAGGCAGTAGGTAAAATGAAAAGGGGTAAGGCAGCCGGGATTGATGGGATAAAGATAGAAATGTTAAAAGCAGGTGGGGATATAGTTTTGGAGTGGTTGGTACAATTATTTAATAAATGTATGGAAGAGGGTAAGGTACCTAGGGATTGGCAGAGAGAATGCATAGTTCCTTTGTATAAAGGCAAAGGAGATAAAAGAGAGTGCAAAAATTATAGGGAGATAAGTCTGTTGAGTATACCTGGTAAAGTGTATGGTAGAGTTATTATTGAAAGAATTAAGAGTAAGACGGAGAATAGGATAGCAGATGAACAAGGAGGCTTTAGGAAAGGCAGGGGGTGTGTGGACCAGGTGTTTACAGTGAAACATATAAGTGAACAGTATTTAGATAAGGCTAAAGAGGTCTATGTGGCATTTATGGATTTGGAAAAGGCCTATGACAGGGGGGATAGGGGGGCAATGTGGCAGATGTTGCAAGTGTATGGTGTAGGAGGTAGGTTACTGAAAGCAGTGAAGAGTTTTTACGAGGATAGTGAGGCTCAGTTAGAGTATGTAGGAAAAAAGGGAAATTATTTCCCAGTAAAAGTAGGCCTTAGACAAGGATGTGTGATGTCACCGTGGTTGTTTAATATATTTATAGATGGGGTTGTAAGAGAAGTAAATGCGAGGGTCTTGACAAGAGGCGTGGAGTTACAAGATAAAGAATCACACATAAAGTGGGAGTTGTCACAGTTGCTCTTTGCTGATGACACTGTGCTCTTGGAAGATTCTGAGAGAAGTTGCAGAGATTGGTGGATGAATTTGGTAGTGTGTGCAAAAGAAGAAAATTAAAAGTGAATACAGGAAAGAGTAAGGTTATGAGGATAACAAAAAGATTAGGTGATGAAAGATTGGATATCAGATTGGAGGGAGAGAGTATGGAGGAGGTGAATGTATTCAGATATTTGGGAGTGGACGTGTCAGCGGAGGGGGTCTATGAAAGATGAGGTGAATCATAGAATTGATGAGGGGAAAAGGGTGAGTGGTGCACTTAGGAGTCTGTGGAGACAAAGAACTTTGTCCTTGGAGGCAATGAGGGGAATGTATGGAGTATAGTTTTACCAACGCTCTTATATGGGTGTGAAGCATGGGTGTTGAATGTTGCAGCGAGGAGAAGGCTGGAGGCAGTGGAGATGTCATGTCTGAGGGCAATGTGTGTGTGAATATAATGCAGAGAATTCGTAGTTTGGAAGTTAGGAGGAGGTGCGGGATTACCAAAACTGTTGTCCCGAGGGCTGAGGAAGGGT